AGGAAAAGCTTCTCATGTATTGCTTCCAAAGATTATCTCAAGATGGGAGGGAAAATCCCATCTGAGCATTGTCCTTTCTTTCAAGAGTGGCTGGGAGTGTCCAGCAAAGCAAACAGCAACTTTGAGTTGCAGCACGCCCTCCGCTGGGTTTTATCCATTTCAAATGCTGTTGATGTAGTGCATTTCGAATGCTCTGCATTATAAACTTCTTCTGCCTCCTTGGCACGGGCCTTGAGAGCTGAGTGACTGGGCCAGTTCTTGCTAAAAGGCAGCGACAAAATTTCTGGCAGTTTCCCCAGTACAATTGCTCCTGACTGCTGAACTCCAGAGCCTTGCAGCAGGACGCCTGCTGCTGAATGCTGGAAATGCTCTGAGCTAATAAAAAACTTGGGTTTGACCTACTGTTTGTTTTTAGTCTTCACAATATTAAACCTTCCTAGCTGTGCTTTTGGCCAGTTTGGGAGTGTCTGTCACGTACATCCCCCATCCAGAATGGCCTAACTACAATGTATACATGCAGCTAATGCCCCTGGAGCCCACAGGCCAGAGCAACTGAGGTATTTGGGATACAGCAGTGGTGAAACAGGCTGGGCTGGGAGCAAAGCGAGTTGCAAAAAGCCCTGCACTTGTCTGGAGAGGAGCTTCAACTGTCTTAATCACTTTTTTTTATTGTTGACCCACTCTGTGGTTCTCAGTGTGCCCCTGCAGACTGGCACACACCAGGACCCTGGAATGAGCTCAGTCTAGGGTGTGAGGCTGTGCCGGGTTTCAGAGGGTTGGGGCTGGCCGTGCAAGTTCACCCGTCTTTCTCTGGGGCTGCAGTGCAAGTGCAAGCTGTACCTGGAAAACGTGACCTTCCTTGAGCTGTCAGATGGGAGATCTTGGGTAAAAGGAACTTCAGTGAGGATGGCCAGGAGCAGGCTTTTGGTGATGTGGGATGAACTTGGTGCCTCCAGTGTGGTCTGGAGGGGGAATGTGGGACAGGGACCGCAAAGCTGAGATGATAGTGGGGCTCTGTTTGGCTGGTGGCCTCACTGCAGTGGCTCTAAGTCGACAGCTGCGAGGTGTCCAAGGCACGGGGCTGTTGGAGGTGTTTGTGGGGAGCGTGTGACTTTCTGCCACCCCACCCCTTCTGTTCCCGTCCAAAATATTGGGGGCGTAAGAAGAAAATGCATTTCTGAAGTGACTGTGAGTATCACACGAATGACTTTCAGCTCTCTCACTGATGACTGATCAGTCAGTCCAGCTTGGGACTGGACACAAAAATAAATGGGATTTCAGCATCCCAAGGTGGGAAGTAGCATTTTTTAACACCTAGTGAAAAGCCATAGAAAGAATTAAATGAACCAGTGGGAGCCTGGGCCACACTGTGTGGATCTAGATGCCGCTGTCACCATCAGTCCTGCAACACTGGGATGTGACTCTTCACTGAAGGCAGAAACCTATCTGTCTACTAGTTGGGATTATGAAAGGCTAGGAGTTTGCAGGGTGCTTGGATTTATGGTTCTGGTTAGGTTCATCTTGTCAACAAATGGACACATGTTGAACAGTAGGACGCTTGTCTTTCACACTAGAAAACTCGGCAGTTACCCTGGGCCGGGGAAGCGAGTATGTCACGCAGGAGCTTGGGGAATCTGGGATGAAAAGGCTCAGGCAAAACGAGGAGCATGTGTCAGCACCTCCATGCTGCAGAGGGGATCCCTGCACAACTGAAAAAAGATCATGAGGAGCCCCAGTGCCAGAGGCTGGGAGCAGAGGTCGAGCCTGAGAAACAGGGGTTTACGAGGGTAGGTGGCCGTGGGGTCTGTCTGCGCGGTGGCAGGGCAGCCAGACTCCGCACCGCTTCTGTAAAGCTTGCTCAGCTCCAGGCGTCGTGGCTGGGAAAGCATTTCATCTTGTTTCAGTTTGTGGTGTGAGATATGGCTTCAGTGGGGTGATATTCCTCTGTAAAGGAAAGGAGTATTTCTCTAAATGTTATATTTGTATAGTAAGGAAAAATAAGGTGGAATTTTCTTCCTTTCTTAGAAAACACTGTTGTGTTGTGGAGGTGGCATGAGCAGCGTCATCCGTCTCTCTCTGCTTGCAGCTCTTGTTTATCATGTTGATAAAAGATAGGCTTGGTAAATCCTTGTGAGAGAGTGACTATGGCCTGCTAGTCTTTCATTCATCCTCAGAGTGTAGCTAAACTTTCCACGGGTATTTAAAACAACGGCATTTAATCTCTAACACAGTTAAAAGGCTTATGTGTTCCTACTCCAGAAGTGAGACACATTGGCAGTGGTTCTTATTTATTTTATTTGTTTGCCCCAGCTTGAAAACTGAGTAGTCAAAAGAAAAGTTCTTATTTTAATATTCTGCGTGACTGAATTGCTTCAGTGAAAGCAAAGGCTGTTGTGCAGGTGCTGATGCATACCTTTGCTTTTTCCGTATTAGTCTGTGCTTTGGCTATGGGGATCTCATCTGCATAAGGCTGTTAGGTTATTTTCTAAATATTGACAAGGAATGTCAATCGCTGACCACCGACTGGTTGATTAATCAAAGTCCTTAACCAATCAACGGGTAGAGGTTTGCATAACAATGAGATTCTGAAAAACCGCCTATTGGAATTGCAAACTTTTCTACTTTGATTTGCTTCTGTAATGCCTCTGCTCTAACTGCCTCCATTGCTCACGTTTTCAAAGTACTTAGTAACACTGAAGATGCTTCCTAATCTCCTATATCTTTCCTTCTTTTCTGTGGCCTGTGCAGGGAAAAAAAATGTAGCAAGCAATAAAACTTAAATAGTTTGCATACAGAAAAGGGGAAAAACGTGGGGAAAAAAAAAAAAAGGAGAAATAAAATGTTTCGGGGTTTTGTTTGTTTTTCCCAAAGCTAAAAGTGTGATTTGAAGCTCATATTCCTCTTTTTTCTCGCCTACTTCCCCTCCAGGACTCTTCATGATTTTCTTTGCATTGTCAATATTGTACCAGTTCTGACCCCTCACTGATATCTTTTGGTTAACAGAGAGGAACTAACTTTCAGATCTGTATGAATGTAAACTGAAGTGAGAGAAAGCAAGATGACTGGAAAGGGAAAGAATGTTTCTAGATTTGGAGTTGGTATTTTCAGTTCAATTTGCAGTAGGCTCGCTGTTTGTGTGTGGTTTTCTTCTCCTCTGCCCCTTACTGTAAGGTGTGGTAATAACTGGGTACATTTCTATGGACAGCAGCCTGAAAATGTGTCTACTTTGTTCTTTTATTTCTGCTTTGTGAAATAGTGGGGAATTCAACCTGCATGGTAATGTGTTGTTTTGTGGGGTAATGGAGATGCAAAGCTAGAATGCAATGGGCATTAAGCAATATGTCCAAAGGCAAGTGTTCACAGCTCTTGGGTCAGAATCCAAATTATGCAGTAAAACAGTATTACACGCCTCCTGATTTTGGACCCTTTGGGGTATCCATTTGCAGCTTTTCTTCACATCCAAAAAGGCTAAAATTTCCCTTGAGCCTGGGGTAAGGGAAACTGAAAACTTTCTTTGACTTTTGATTCTGGTGTTTAGCTAAGCTAGACTTTGTTTAGTCATTCTTGTCCCTGTAAAGATGAGGGTTATGGATCACGGCTTGAAACGATTTCTTCTTCCATTTTCGAGGCCTTGAATGTGCAAGGCAGGGATGGAGCAGACATCTTGCTTCTGGTCTGTCTTCATATGTCTTCTAGAAATAGGACGTGTGATTCTTTGTGTTTGACAAGACCCATCTGCACCGATTTTAATGGAGTGTAATTTGAAACTAGTTTAGTTAAGCCAGGGCAGATGGCTGCAGGACTGTGTGTAATTTCTTCAATGTAAGGTTGTGGTGCTGCTGCAAGATTATTAATCTGGTTTTAGGACACTTCACAGCAAAAAAAGGTAATATTGTCATCATATAAATCTCAGTGTTGAACAAGTACGAATTAATTCTGCCCGTTAAAATGTGCAATGAAAAAGAATCCAAAAATCTGTCTCAGAAGACTTTGTCAGATAAGGTATTGTCTGGCTTACTGCACAGGATAAAGATTGTATCTTATATTTTTGGTTATTAAGAATTAGCTAAAACTATGTAGTCATGCCTGATCCCGATCAGGCTTGTACTGACAGGTGATCAAATATTATGTAAAGCTTGTTATCAATGAAAATGGAACCAGAGCCATGAAAATTTGCAAGAGCTTAACTAAATTGATTTAATGTGATCAAGACCTAGTTTTCTGTAGACAAGGTTTTTATTTACAGCTTTAATACACTTATTTTACATACAGCATATATGTCTCTCTCATTTTTCTTTGCAGTATTTTGGCAAGCAAGAACAGAAGTTGGAATGGTTGCCAAAATAGAAAGTTTAGCCTAAAAATCCGAAAAAGAACAAGAAAGCTGTCTTAAATTTGTTTTCTCCATTATTCATGTTACAGGATTTATTTTATAAGATATTTCAATTCAATCTGAGAATAAACACGTGACCTATCTCACCAGGCCCTTAGATTGAACTGCAGAACTCCCCCTACCCAGTTAGGTCTTGTTACATGTTATCAACCAAGACATTTTTGGTAGGGAAAAAGATATTATGGAAAGCGTTCTGTGTTTTCAACCAACCTTGCTCATGATGAACAGGTTGAATGGGAAGTCTGCAGGCTGGAAAGCACATCTGCTTAAAACATGTGTTGAGTTTTCTTTATTTATTTATGTTAACAGTGAGTACATTTGTGGAATACATGTCTTCTTCTTGATCTGTTTGCTGAATTAGGACACAACCCAAGAACGCTTGTGCATGAGACTAATTTTCTATAAATTAGTAGTGTCACTGAGTTCAGTAAGAGCAGTCACGCACAGAATTAAGTACATGCATGAGAGTTTGCAGAAGTTTGGCAAACGTGTTGTCATCATGAACAAATTGTCCAGCTTTGCTTGTAATGCAGCTGTAAATTCTTGGCTTGGTCCTATTTTGAGTAGCCCTTGTTGTATGAACCATAGGCTATTCTATTGTGCTAAGCTTAACTGAGGATATTTCTCTTATTCTGTCATAGCAACAAGAGCAAGATCCCACAAATCTATACATCTCAAATTTACCCGTTTCCATGGATGAGCAGGAGCTGGAGAATATGCTGAAACCCTTTGGGCATGTCATTTCCACCAGAATATTACGAGATGCTAATGGAGTCAGCAGAGGAGTCGGCTTTGCCAGGTGAAACCTTTACTCTTTTTCGATTCATGCACAGTTTTTGGCTTTGGTCCTTTGCAAATGCTGTCTATTCTGTAACTCTGAAGCTTCATAGCTATGGAAAATACAGAGCAGCACCTTTATCAGATTGTGTGTATGTTCTTTCCACTGGGCTGAAGAATACCAATGCAGATGGATGTTCATTTCATTGCTCTAAAAAATAGTTCATTGTATGGTTGTATATGTAAATAAAAATCAGTAGGAATAGTGGGCTATGCATGCAGTACCAAGCTTGGATAATAATAAATGTCCTACAGCCAAAAGCACACACTTGGTGAAGAAACTGTTTAAATGTTTAGCAAAGACTTTGCAACAGGAAAAAGTAAATTTAGCAGTTGGAAGAGCAAAGAGGAGAAACTGTAACTGAAGAAACGTGGCTTCCTTGAAAGCTGCAGGGAACTCAAGCCTGTGAGAAGAGCTTAGAGATGAAATATTTGCATATAACAACCCATGTCAGAGTAGTCAGATATTTTAGACAGAATGGGCAACATATTATTACCACGTACTTCATTGTCAGTACAGATAGACAAGTTTCCATGTTTACTCTCAGGGAATGTTTACATAGATTCTCTTCAGCTTGAAACATTCTTAAATCAAATAATTTCTTTTGAAAAAACACAGAATAAAGAGCTATATATAGAAAGGTATTGAAAAAGCAAATATGAAGAGAAATTTGGAATTGTGCTGTAAATCAGTATTCTGCTTCAAAAGAAAAGAAAAAAAAATCCTCAATCTTTGTTTCTACAGAATATTCATAACATTATGCTTTTTAAAGGAGGAAAAATGACTTAGTCATCTTGTGAATTTCTTTGAAATACACCATATCTTGGTATATCGTGGCGTTCCTGTTAGTGTCATAACACCACTGAGTTGAAATGAGGTACCGTATGATAAAAAGGTAGCTTGCAAGATAAGTGACATTGTAGTGTTACCTTTGTCCTTGATGTGCAAGATCATCATGCACGAAGAATGTTAAGATAATACTGTCTGAATTCAAATGGAAAAAGGCAAAACATTTACGCTGAAAGATGGCACACTGTTCCTTACGCATTCTTGCAGATAATAACATGAATTTTTCTAGTTCACTAAATATAGATTAATGTAACTCATGGATAAACTTGCATTTTTTAAAAAATGACTTTGTTTGTGGAAATGTATTTAATTATGTGGCATATTTCAAGAAACCTTTAGTGATCCAACATGAAGGTTGTGTAATTCACCAAGCAAACGACGGAGGGGTAAAACATTTGCTCCATCAAAGTATAGAGCAGATCTCCCATAGACTTGAATGAGGCCAGAGTTAATCCAGGAATTTAGATCCATAGTGGAATGCTGACTCTTGTCTTTGCAGAATTATCAATACAAGCTTTAATTACATGACCACCTGACCTTCGTTTTGGCATAAAGTGCTATTTGGTATCTTTTTCCTGCATGTTAATCCAAACAGATGAATTTGCTTAGCTTTGCTTGAAGTCATGAAGGTTCTAGTGTACCTACAGTGGGAGCTCATGCTGAGTGGGTATAAATGCAGTACAGGTAGGGAATGACAGCTGTATTTCAGTCCAGATAAGATTTCAGAAGTTCAGATCAGCAACCCATGTGGTGATGCTGGCTGTTATACCTTCTGACCTGGGTCCTTTTATCGCAGTATATCTTGCCTGCTTGTGGAATGTGCCATGCTGCTTACTGTAGCTCTTAACTGAGCCACAGAAGCACAGGAGAAAAAGTTGACTTTGCATATGCTAAAATGATGCAGCATACAGCAATTTTGCAATTTGGTGTTTCAAAGTTATTAATTAAGCGCTATGATGATTAAAAATCACTTTTTGATTCTGCTCAATTATGTGAATAGTCAATCTCGAAATAAGTGTATTCAAAAAGCAACCGAAGTAAAGACTCACGGTAGACAGCTTTTGTCGGGTTTTTCTCCTAAATGCATATGATTATCAGTTTCATAGTACTACAGGTAGCTACTTAATCATTTATAACCCAGATAATTTCAAATGTTCTTGGATCAAAATTATTCAAGTAATGTCTGGCCACATTAGAGTTCAGCCTCCTTTAAAGTATTCCCGTACAAAGCTAGGTCTCTTTTTTAAGACGTGAAAGTATTTCCTCTCTTTTGCGTCGCTCAAAAGCAACTGAACAGATTTTCCCGAAACTTTCCAGAGCATTTCACTGTGGTTTGAACCTGACTGTGACTAGGTATGCCCCAGGGGAGATTTTGGGGAGGAGAGTTATGAGCAAGGGGCCAGAGAAGGGAAGCTTTAGATTCTGACTATGGCTCCACAGAAGTCCATCCAGTTGAAAGGGAATTGCCATAACCTCTGGGCACCCAGCTCTGCCTCACCCCTTGCCCGTGCTTTATGCTTCAAAGCCGTGCTACCTGGCTCCAGGCTCTCCGTGGGAGCTGGCATTCTGCGGCGCTTGCATTGCTCTTGTCGTTTGGCAGTGTGGGTTTCTGCTGAGGCCAGCAAGCAGAAGCTGGGACTAAACACAACCTATCGTATAGCAGAGAGAGAAATTAGGAGGAGGAGGAGGGGGAGGAAATACTTACTAGAAGTAGGGAATTGGATAAAGGAGGCAGTGCGGATGTGAAGCTTTGAGTTCAATCTGTTGTAAGATTGCATGTCGAATGAGGGAATGACGCAGTGTTGCCCTCATACGGATTTCATCACAAGACTTAAAATTTTAGGTGGTTCTCTTAAGTCCCTGTTTCTGGGAGTCATCTAATGACTTCAGCTTCTGATCTTTCATTTTAAAAGTTGAAGTGGATTCCTCAGAGCTTAGAAAAATAGCATCGTCTTTCATCCTCAAAAAAAATAAAACCAAACAAACAATCAAAGGAAAAAAAGCCACAGAAATTTAATTTGAAGACTTTTTTCAGGATATAATTTTAAAGCTGATCTCTTATGATTTCAGTTTTGCGAACAGGATGTTAGCAATATAGTTGTTGGTGTGAGTAAAAGCAGATCAGAGGTAGTAAGTGAGAGAGTCTTTGAGGAAGGCTGGAATTAATGGATAGGAGAAGGTACTGAAAGCATGGAGGGAAATACTTAACTTCATCCTGAAGATGTGTTGTTACTTATAAAGAGGTAACTACGTGCTGGAAGACCTGCCTTTCCACAGGCCTGTAAAGGGTGAGTTCCAGATGTTAAGGTGGAAGAAGTAACACAATCAAAGTGGAGCCAAAGCAGCGGTGCTGTTTTGCTAAATGAAAGGTAGAGCATTCAGAGGGAGATTTCAGAGGATCAGTGATGATGATACTTTGGAGGCAGAGAAGTGTCAGCAGCACCAATATTCAGAGGGAGATTTCAGAGAATCAGTGATGATGATGCTTTGGAGGCAGAGAAGTGTCAGCAGCACCAAGGGATAGAGAACAACCAGGCAGTTTAAGGATGCATTTGTGAAGTGGGAAAATGCTTTTTTTCTTCCTTATTCAAGGGCTTAATTGAAGGCAGTTGAAAAGGTGCTATAAATTTAGCTTGAACACTTCCTTATTCAAGGGTTTAGTTGAAGGCGGTTGAAAAGGTGCTATAAATTTAGCTTGAACAAATCTATCATCTGGGACGGTAGTGCAGGCTTAGATATTATGAGGATCATTCCTACTTTCAGTCCATCATCTGGGACGGTAGCGCAGGCTCAGATATTATGAGGATCATTCCTACTTTCAGTCGGAAGAATAATCTGTCACATCCTATATCTTACACAGGAAATCGCTTTATAATTGGATATCTCAAATGAAACTGGAAATCCCAACATGCCCCAAAGACTTTGTGAGATATCTGTAAAATAATCCAGTGCCTGTGGTGATAAATTTCCATGGAAAGGCCTCCCTGGAAGGGGCTCACGACATCACTGCAGGGTGCTGGGGAAGTCTGCAGGAGAATGTTATCTGTCTCCCAGACCCTCATATTTTCACCTGGCATTGCAACCTGGACTACTGGAAGGGGCTGACAACATCACTACAGGGTGCTGGGGAAGTCTGCAGGAGAATGTATCTGTCTCCCAGACCTTCATATTTTCACCTGGCATTGCAACCTGGACTACATTTTGGTAGACTCAGTACATCCCTAAGAAAATTGCCAGACATGGAGCTGCACTTTCAGGGAGAAGCAAACTCCAGAGAGGGGCAGGTGGGACAGGATCCCGGGGCAAATATCGGTGGGACTCCATAACATGAAAAAGGATATGAAGCCCTTAAAGGTGAAGAGGGAGGAACAAGGAAAGTTAGGAGCCACCAGATAATTTAGCTGAGCAGTTTTCATAATCCAAGCCTGAGGTACTGTGAGTTTAACTGAAGAACTCCTTGGAACATGGAAAAGAGGGCAAGGAGGCATTGGTATATACCTTGGGGAGGGACTTACTGATACCACTGAATCTGTGAAATAAAAATTGCATTTTATAACTGCAAAGTAAAATACTATTGAAGTATTATTTAAGTATCCTCCCTATAGAGATAGTAATATTAATAATACCATACATACATGTACCATAGTCAGCTGAACAGTGGAGCAAGCGTTTTATAGGACCTTTTAAATGATAAAGTGCAAAGAAAGAGTTAGAAACCACTAACTTTTTTATTTTGTTTGCTGTCTTGTAACTTAAAACGACCTTGCAAGATTCACCCCCCGAGCGACATTTTACAACGAAGTCATAAGCCTCTGAAAACAGAAATTTATGATGGAAATGCTGACAGTCAGACAGTCAAGTATTGCACTGCTGGCGGGCACCAGTATAATACTTAACCTGAGACCGTGAAGACAGTAGCATAAATCAGCCTGGGTCTAGGTGGAAATGACTGTGTGTTCATGCTATTCTTTTCCAGTAACATGAGAAAATTTGTCCAACACAAACTGTCATAAAAGAATGTTATGATGCTCTTCCCAGCAAATGACCAAAGTCAAGAGATTCTCCATTAGCTGTCTCTATCATCTCAGAGCAAAAATATATAGCAAGGAGAT